TTCATGGCCCTGCACATGGATGCACAATTTAAGTTCCTCGCACGAAACTTAAATTCACGTCGTGTCAAAAAAGAGAAATGCGATGAGACCAGGAATACAGAGATTCACGATGCTCGTGGCATAAAAGGGCCAGCAAGGGAAGGTAACAGGTGCCAGGTGGATTACCTTGAAGACTCGGGTACGCCAGTAGCTGCAGCTGAAACCGCTCCCTCGGAATCCATCGCTGAAAGCTAAGTGTGCAACGGCAAGATCTCAGCAAACAACGCGACAAGTCCTAACCTACATCCTAGGCAGCTAAACTGAGCCAAGAATCTACATGAATTCTGAGCAGACACGACGAGCTCCAGGTTTAAACTACAGTGGATAAGTAAATTCTGCAAAAGAACTGGAGACAGCCATGGAATTGGGACTACCAAGGACTGCGAGTAAAAGCTTGGTCAGGAGCCATGGCTGCTGGCAGAAGAAATGGGTAAGGAGCCATGATGACGTGAAATGAGCATGGAATGAGAAGGAATGGAATCTGTTGTGGATGAGATCGGCTCTTCATTGCCTGCTTTGTGGTTGGATGAGCACTCAGTCATGGGCTCGAGCCGAAGTACACAGCTTGGGAGGCAAGGGTGCCGAGCCAGAAGGTTACCAGGTTTACTCAGAGGTCTGGCATCACGAACTGCCTATTGACGTGCTCCGAGAGTTTCCGCACCTCCAGACATTTGACCAATGAAGCGAGGCCAGGGTCCCCGAAGCAGACAGGCTGTGTTCCCATGAAACAGCCGTGGCCGTTTTTGTGACAATGGTGCAGGTTGCCTACCTAATCATTAACATATTCAGATCATTATTATTTCTATTTATGATATCTTCTAAACATTCGGCCCAGTGTTTTTCCATACAGCCCATGTATTTCATAGACGAATAAATTCACGTGCCTACAGAAATATGGTTTTGATGTAGCTCATGGACTCACGTACAAGTAATATCTAGGTAAATCCTGCCTTATCTTCTAGCGGAGCATGTCTCTGTAACGGGTTCGGAAATGCAATCACAGACTGACCAGTGTGGGAGCTGTGCCCCAGCACTTTTTCGGGCATCCCCTGCAAGACAGCCCACCCACGTGCACGAACTATTCCCAAATTAGGGTGTGTCCCATGCGTGTCTGACTGCGGTTGAGTGAGGTGTGTCTCGGGGCACAGGGATCTAGTATTGTTCTACAACGGCTGGATAGGGTACTAAGGAAGACGCACTCTTGGGACACCCCCTTATTCCATTCCAGGCCACAACAGAGCAGAGCAGAGAGCACAGAGCAGGCTTTCTCCCCTCAGATAGCGTGAGGTGTGGTTGCATCGCAGAAAGCGTGAGCACTGCGCTTCGCGCTCCTGGTGCGTCTTTTCGGATCTTTTGCGCTCGAATTTATCTGTAGCGGCGCTAGAGATGAGGAGGAGCGTGCGGGCCATTTCCGCCTCGCGTAGGTTGCTCGCAGCTGCGTCTGGTGCAGCGCTGGACAGAGCGTCGGTAGCAGCAGCACCATTAGTAGCAGAATCCGCACGAGCGTCAGTCGTAACTGGATCCGTCGCAGCAGCACCACCACTGTGGGAGCATCATGTGCGTTCAGCTTTTGTTCGATCCGCAGAACCGCCAGGTGTCAGCTCGAGTGAGGCGAAGTGCTTGTGTCGCTACCATGTACCTTCGTTGTTGGAACATCAGAATTACTCGTCATACATGATCGGTCTGCTGAATGGCCGCCAGGAACCGCGCAGGACGACGGTAGTTAGCGGGATGAGGAGCATGAGCAGCGAGGTGGTACGGCAGCAGCAGAAGCCACATGAAACTGTGGGCCTCACCGACAGATGCGCGGAAGTGAGTGATTTCGTGCTGTGATTCGTTTCGGGAAACTTTCTAGGTCTCTTCTGTGTTCAAAGGCTAAGGAGAAATAGGCAGCTGCAGGGGAGATTTTTCGGCTGGAAAGGAGATGCAACAGGAACAGACGCGCATGGATGAATGTTTGATGGATTGCGGTATTTTGTTTGTTTTCTGATGAGCAGAGATTGGCTGAGATCATCAAAGAGGAAGGACGTGACGTGTTCTTGAGATTGACTGTGGAGGGAGGGGGTTGTTCTGGCTTTCAATATATTTTCACGCTGGATGACAAGACCACTGGTGAAGATAGGTAAGTTCCATCCAAGCAACGGCCTTGCGTGGTGTTCTGGCTTTCCATATATTTTCACTCAGGATGACAATACCACTGGTGAAGATAGGTTGGATCCATTCATGCAATGGCTTTTCGTGGTGAATCTGGGTGTGAATTGTTAGCCAACTTTTGAAAATGGCATCATTCCTCCCTTCCTTTTGGCGAATTGGTTGTTGTGCTCCCTAGTCAACAGAGATACGTTGTCACTTTGTTGGGCTCCCTACCTACCATGAGTGATGGTGACCCTTTGTGCTTCTTTCCGCCATAAAATTCCGAGCAGCATTTTTGAGCGTGATGGAGTCCGGTTGGTGGTGGACAACGTATCTCTGCTTTTTGTGGATGGGGCTACTGTGGACTTCACTGATGAATTGATTCGTTCGTCATTTCAAGTGAGTGGGGTCCTCATTCATAGGGTTGGCTTTCTGCCATTTGTACATGCGTGCTTGTGGTATGTAATGCCGTACCTTACCGTTTATCCTGGTGTGCAGGTGATCAGCAATCCCAACTCTGCGTCATCATGTGGATGTGGTTCTTCATTCACTGCAAAATAGTACTGTGGTACACTACCCCACTTGATGTGGTTGTGGCCATTTGGTGTTGCACTTTATCCAGGGTATGGTATTTTTCAAGTATAGAACAACACGCAACGTGATTAAGATAAGCTGGCTCACATTTTCGAAGAGATCGAACTATGTGTGCACCCGCCACTGTGGATGATCGCACAATTGTCTAGAAGATTAACCATGCATATCATGTTGATTAATGAGCGGCCTATTCCTTGTTGAGTTATCTTACAGTAAAGCAAAACGATCTTTCTGAGGCAACAACGCACGGGAGCAAGCTGATTGGAGAAACTTCGTGGGTGTCAACCATCCACGAGGCTGTGTTGTCTTGCTGGCAAGCCGCGGAACTACCATTCCACATCACGGACATTGAAACCGCCATGTCAGCCACTCGGGCTTATCTCAGCGATGCCTCTGCGGCGCTGTTCAGGCTTGCACACGCACCAAGAAACGACTGTGTTCTGCCACGCTCTCGTCCACGCGTCATTCTCGTGATCAAGCTCCCCATCTGATGGGAGGCACATGCCTTCTGACGTGGTTCAGTCAGAGTCACGAACAACCCGCGGCCAGCTCATCAAGGTCGCACCGTCGAGTCACACGACCAAGCTGCTTGTGCGATCCTCCATCAAATAGGGGGCATACAGTTTTAAGGTCGCACATCCTGCAGCCCCACGTCTCACAGTCGCACAACTGGCAATCTCAAGGGTTTGGCGGCTAGAAAGGATCCAACGGTGCCACCTCCTACTAGTTCAGGTTCTTGATGAGACAATCTCTAGGCATTTGCATTTGACAAATACAAGGTTCAACGTCTCCGACCATTTCTTTCCAAGATCACCATTTTCTCTCAAGCTTCTCTTTTTCCTGCTTAGCCTTTCCTTCGCCAAAACAACGCTTCGCAGCCAAGATTGTAGCGAGAGGACAAAATGGCAACTGCTTGCATTTCACGCTCTGCTCTGTCGGCGCCGGCTACCGCTGGGGCTAAGGCGGTCTCTGGCCAGCAGAAGCGGCAAACCAGCCAACTGGTCGCGTGGCAGATGCTCAGGCGTCGAGGCGTCCACACCGCTTCGATCGCGGTTGAGCCTGCAGTCGTCGTTCAAGGGCGACGCTCTCGTGGGTCGTCCAGTCCGCGCTGCCACCACCAAACGATCATCTGAGAGGTATGGCGATTCATGCACATGTCGTCATCAGGCAACACCACTCCACGAGGCCTTACTCCTCGTCTTCCTGCCGTCGATACCTACTCCTTCCTGTCTCCCGTCTACCTGCCTCTGCTTCCGCCCTTGTCTTCCACCCATCTCTTCTCTTTTCCTTCTTCCCCCTCCCTCCTCCCCCTCCCCACTTTCCTTCTCCCCCCTCTCCCCCCCTTATCTCTCAATCTCTCCTTCCTTCTCTCCCCATTTCAATCCTCCCCTTTTCTCCTTGCTTGTCCGTCATTCTTTTATTTTCCAGGCTCGTGGTGGTGGACGAGGCCGTGGTGCAGTTCATCCGCGGCGTCAACGAGCAAACCATTCCCGAAGTCCGCCTCACGCGATCCAGGTGCGTTACTTTACACTGACTGACCTCTAAATTAAATTGAACTTTGTCGCGTGAGTTCGAGTTGCAATCTAGCGTCGTCTACGAGCATGCGGACTCGTCGTCTACGAGCTGCGACATGAGTACGACTCACGTGGTGTGACCGTAACGAATTCTGCACTAGTTCTTTTACTCACGTTCTTTGCTGTAGTAAGGTCAGCCGTTTGGGTAGATCTGCAGTCGCGTTTGGTAGTTGACAAGTGGGAAGGTGGGGTACTATTCTCGAAGCATGTGATGACCTGCGTGCTGTCTTTATTCTCTGCTCTTTAGTCCCGAGGTTTACGAATCTGTCGTAGCTTGTGTTCGTCCGCAAACCCCCAATGGACACAGTGAGATCCATCGTGGAGGAACACAAGCTTCGGCAGATTGCAACGCCCTCCTTGCGGAAATTTGAGGTCTTCACGCAGCTTGCAATGCACTCGCGGCGGCATGAAGAGAGCACAGCAGAAGCACGTTGTGCCAGCGGCCAGTTAGCAGCAGTAGTGGTATAGCTACTTTCGTGCTCCACAACTTACCTTTTAACTGCTCAATTTCACTCAATTTCCGTTTGTGTCTCGTCCCCTGCCTTCTCCTCTCTTGCAGGGATGGCACGAGCGGCACGGCCACATTCGTGTTCGAGCAGCCGTCGGTTTTCGACCAGCCCAGCGACCTGGGCGACATCACCGGGCTCTTCATGATCGACGAGGAGGGCGACCTGCAGGTGAATAGCTTGCTTGATTATTTTCTTACGCGCTAGATGCCTCCTCCCTGTCAGTCGTGTTAAAAGTCAGAGACTTGGGGGTACATCACGAGGCTCTTCATGATTGACGAGGAGGGCGACCTGCAGGTGAATAGCTCGCTTGATCGCTTTCACACGCGCTAGGCGCCTCCCTGTCAGTCGTGAAAAAAAGCCAGAGACTTGGGGGTACATCACGAGGCTCGTCCTGATTGACGAGGAGGGCGACCTGCAGGTGAACAGCTCTCTTTTACCCTTGGGAAGTGTCAATTTAGGCCCCTGGCGAAATGTGTGCGTCAGCTCCTGTCACCTTGAACAGGGTTGCACAGCCATTACCCCATGGGCGGGAATAACTATCTTTCCTGCTCGACACACAACCCCACCCCAAACTCTCCCCCCCACGCCAACCCCCCCCTTCCCCACCTCCGACCCCCTTTTCTGCAAACCTGCCAGAGGGTGGACATGAGTGCCGAGTTCGTCATCGTTTATTCCATGGTAAATCCATGCCTGCTGCTCACCTTCCTCCCCGCCCTCAACCCCCCCTTTCCTGTGCATGACAGACGGTGGACGTGAGTGCCAAGTTCATCAATGGCAAGCCAGCGGGCATCGAGGCGCGTTACATCATGCGCTCGGAGAGGGAGTGGGACCGCTTCATGCGCTTCATGGAGCGGTACGCCGAGGCCAACAACCTTGGCTTCGTCAAGAAGTGAACACGTGTGGGAAGAAGATGGAAAGAAGGGGAAACGAGTAGGGTTGAAGGGGGGACGATGCTGCTCTGCTGAATGAACCCGTGAGGGGGGTCAAGGCATGAGCTAAGTACCCTTCTCTGAGTGATTCCGTTACCGGATGAGATGTCGCTCTTGTCTTGCTGTTCTGTTGACATAGACGAGGATTGTGGGTTGTGCGTGCTCTCATTTTTGCAGACATGCTACCAATTGATATAGCATGGTAGTTTAGGGAAAGGCTGCAATATATATGAACGATTTTACTTTCGAGGAATTCATGTCAAATCAAATTTAGCCCTAATGAGAGCTTGCTACTTGAAGTGCAAATGGCATTGTTCTCAGAACGTGACCTTATTCTCTTCCCAAAATCAGCTCTCACCTGAGCGCATGCTCGAAGGATCTCTTTTTCCTGCTAATTCGTTATAGAAACGCGTTCTCCACCTCAATGCATCGGTTCTTGTCCCAATCGCACTGTACCGATACGTGCACTTGTGAAATTTTGGCTCCTCAAACAATATTTGAAAACAGGCCTTGCATATCGACAATCCCAATCTCGCGCCACACCACGCGGAACCGCACCAAACTGTTTCACGTCAAAATTACGCGCGCAAGTCTGGGAAGGGGTTGGCTGTGAAGAGGCCGCAGGAACACGCTCTCATTGTAAAACATGTTTTGTACATGCCTTATAGGCTACATAGGTGCGTACTCTTAGAGGGTACAGCCCCTTGGACAAAACCAACCTGTTTGCATCATTCGAGTTATTCTTTCTCACTTTGATATGGTCTAATGCTAGGTTAGGTCCCCCCCCCCGCCTGCCCACCCGCGCTTCCGCTTTAGGCCTAGTCCTAGCCGCCCCGTTGAGCCCCGCTAGCCCTGTGCGCCCCGCAGGCCCCGTACGCCCCGCTGGCCCCGTTTGCCCTGCTGGCCCCGTTAGAGCCCCGCTGGCCCCGTCGATCCCTGCTAGCCCCGTGCGCCCCGCCAGCCCCGTCCGCCCCGCTGGCCCCGTTCGCCCCGCTGGCCCCGTTCGCGACCCGCTGGCCCCGTGCGCGCCCCGCTGGCCCCGTGCGCGCCCCGCTAGCCCCGTCGCGCCCCACTAGCCCCGTGCGCCCCGCTAGCCCTGTGCGCCCCGCCGACCCCTCACTCGCCAGCTTCCAGCGCCATCGGCCCTGCTCCACCGGCCACAGCCCGCACCGGCCCCGTGCTGTCCAGCCTCTGCGCCGCAGTCCCGCCGCGCCGCAATGTAGCTGTGCCGCCGTGTAGCTGCGCCGCTGTGACGCTCTGCCGCCCCCGACCTACCAGCCTTGGCTCCCTTCTGAGCCGGCACATTTGCCGGCTGTCTCCACCGCTCTTCACCGCACTCCTCTGCACTCAACCGTACTCCACCGCACTCCATTGCTCTCCAAAGCACTCCACCGCTCTCCACCGCTCTCAGCTGCCTTCATTCGCCTTTCCTCCTCTCCCTATCAGCGGCAGTCAGCTGCTGCAGCCAGGGTGATGGCGGACTCCCTGCTCCGCCTGGACACAGAGGGCCGTGCTATCGACTTCGAGGCGTGGCTTGTCGACCTGCGCCGGCACCTTACATGTCAGCGCCAGAACGGTCACTCCCTGGCTGTTCATGTTGATGGCCTGCTTCCCCGCCCTACTGCGCCTGTTGCCCTACCTGACACCCCTACCACTGCTGAGCGTGACGCCTTTTCCACTGCTGCACTTGCTCGAGCTGTCTGGGAGTCGCGCGGCGCAGTTACGCAGCTTGTTATCAATCACGCACTTCCCCTGTCTTAGCGTCCCCGCTTTACCACTGTAGCGAACAACAAAGAATCTTAGATGCCGTCATTGCGCGCTATTCCACCCCAGCCTCCGCCTTTGTTGGCCGCCTGATCCTCCTCATGCTGTTCCCTGATCTTGCGTTTTTTCCCACAGTCGTCGATCTTGCCACTCACCTCCGCGCACTAGAGTCTAGCTACCGCGCCGCTAGCACTAAGGCTCAGCTCACTGCCTTTTTCGCCGCTGCTTTGCGCTACACTTTACCTCATTGCACGCGCCTTCCTGACCGCCTAGCAACTGCCCGCGACCACTTCCTTAGTCAGCACCCCGGTTACCTCACCCTCACTGCCTTTGTCACCGCCCTGTCCACGATAGAGATCCGCCAGCGCACTATCGTTGAGTCTAGCGGCACTGCGCCGGTCCCTATCTTTCAGGGCTTTGCTCCCTCCTAGTGCAGTTACTCTGACGCCTCGACCACTGTTGCAAAGACAGCCGCTGCGGCCTCAGCGCAGCCGTGTCCGGATAGGGGCCGCCGCTAAGGGGGGCGTGGCGGAGGGAAGGGTGATGGGGGTGGTGAGGGTGGAGGAGGTGGGGGCACAGAAGGTGGTTCCGACGAGGGGACCGGGGCTGGTGCCCCGGATCAGCAGCAACCACAGCCCCAGCAGCAGCAGTAGCAGCCACAACCTCAGCAGCAACAGTAGTAGCAGACTCAGTAGCAGCAACAGCAGCAGCCGCAGCAGCATTTGCCGTAGGGACCCCCGCCACCATGGTGGACTGGCGGCACTGGTGGCGGTGGTCATGGTGGTAGCAGGCGCAGCTCGGTGTCGGGTGGCGGCTCCAGTGCGGTCACCTGCCAGTACCAGCTTCAGACCAGGCCCCGCCGCGGCACCGTCTGCGACCATCCCGGTCGCACCGCCGCTCGCTGCTACCGCCGCTTGGACGATCTTTTCCGCTACCGCTTCGGTCCCACGGCGGACCCTCCTAACTGGTATGCCCTGGCTCGCCGCTGTGTGCCTGTCTTTGAGCTTGACATGGATCAGATTATCATTGCTATGTTTGTCATGTATGCTGATGACTCTAGTGTGATTAGGCCTTATTATCCGGTGGTGCCTAGCATAGGTGTGTCCTCTGTGTGTAGTCTAGGCTCCCCTGCCGTGTCAGGTGTAGGACCCTCTGCCTTTTTTAGCTTAGGCTCTATGCTCACCCCTCTGCCGGCTGACGCTACTACGTTGCTCTCCTTTACGCTTGACTTTGGACAGTCCGCCTATTTCTTTCGTGACCATAATGTGATCACGCCACTTGCTGCCCCCGCCGCTGTAGCGCTTGCTGACCCCTCCTCAGGTCCGGTCGTAGCCCGTAGCTCCACTACCCTCCCCTGTCCGGCGATCCCCTCAGGCTCTCTTACAGGCCTGCACATCCCCTCGTTCCCTAGGAACCTAGTTTGGTGTCGGCTGTCTTCAGGAACCTAGGCGTTACCACTTCGTTTCCCGGACACGAGCGGTACGCGGTTTGTACCGAGGCCGCCATTGATGCCCCTCTCACCACGTTCCATCGGAACCCTGTGTCTGGCCTGTTTACGCTTGACACTGCGTCCCCCCCAGGGAGGGCGTCCCCCCAGGTGCCTGCGGCAACCCAAGTCGCTGCAGCGACCCAGGTCACTTCGGCTTGCTTGTGTCGGTCACTCACTCACCTATCGCTGATGTGGCACTACCACCTAGGTCACCCACACTCTCGTGTCTGTGTCACATATCTCATTACGGTCTTGTCTTCGGTCTCCCTCCGTCGCTCCCTGCCCTCCCTCCCTCGCCTGCGCCGCTGTGTACACCTTGCGTCGAGGGCCGGCTGCGCCGTGCTCCTCACTCCCTCCTCGTTTCCCCATACTACCACGCCACTCCAGACCCTGCAGTTGGACGTTTGGGGCCTAGCCCCCATCCCTGGGCCGAGTCGAGAGTGCTACTTTCTAGTGATTGTCGACGACTACACGTGCTACACCACGGTGTTTCCCTTGGAGCGGAAGGCCGACGTGCCTGACGTTCTTATCTCGTGGGTCGTAGCTGCGTTTGTCCACCGCGGCCTCCCTACGCTTTGTCTCCACTCCGACCGTGGCGGCGAGTTTGCCTCCGGTCGACTTGGCCAGTTCTTTCGTGCGGAGGGCATCACCCAATCGTACACCATGCCAAACTTTCCACTGTAGAATGGAGTCACTGAGCGACGCATCGGTTTGGTCATGGAGGTGGCTCATACCTCCATGATCTATTCCGATACACCCCATTTTCTGTGGCCGTTCGCTGTTTGCTACGCCGCTCACCAGCTTAACCTGTGGCCACACTCACAGCGGCCGCAGGTTTCACCGACCTTCGTTGGACCGGGTTCCCTAGTGACGCATCTACGTTCCACGTCTAGGGCTGTCTCGTTCACGTTCGTGGCTCTGGCACGGACAAGCTCTCTGCTCGCAGTGTCCTCTGCGTCTTCCTTGGTTTACCCCTTGACGCGTCTGACTAGCACTTTTACCACCCGCCTTCTCACCGCTTCTTTCACTTGCGTGACGTCACTTTTGATGAGTTTGTCTCCTTCTACCATCGCTTTCCCCATCGAGATCTCCCGATTTTTCTTGCCCCTGTTTTCTGGTTCCCACTCCCCCGGTAGCCCCTACTCTCCTCCCCCCCCGTCCTGCCCCGTCTGGAGTGTCTCACGTCACTCCCCTCCTGTCGGTGGTCCTGGTGGAGGAGTCGGCTGACTCCGGGGCCCCGCGGCTTCGGTTTCGCCGCCTGTCTCCGCCTCGGCGTCTCCTCCTCCACCGCCGCAGCCGGAGCACCAGCCGCCGTCGCTGCAGCTGCAGCCACTACAGGGGTCAGCGTGTTCTGGGGGTACTGCGTTGAGGAGGGTGCTAGTCCCGGGGTTGCTGTCGTGGCGTGTCCCGGCGGTCTCGGGGTGGCACCGATGCTAGAGAGGGTTCTCGTTCCGGGGTGCTGGTTATGGGGGTACTAGTCCTGGGGTTATGAGGGTTCTCGTTCCGGCGGTCCTCGGGGTGGGACTGGTGCTGGAGAGGTTTCTTCTTCAGGGGGTGCTGGAGTGGAGCGTTCCGAAGCTAGTCGCGGTGCAGCTAGAGGTTTTGGTGTAGGCATGGAGCAGTAGCAATAGTAGCAGCAGTCGCCGCCGGTGTCCGCCCTTCGCATCCTCAGTCTTCCCTCCCCTGACCGCCTGCCTGTGCCTCCCCCGCCGCCGCCTCCGCTGCCTGTCTACGGCCCTGTCTTTCCTCCGCCCGACTCGTCTCCAGCTCGTCGTCCCCCTCATTCCTCTCATGTGTCTCCTCTTCTGTCTCTTGACCCGTCGCCTCCGTCTCACATCTGGTCTCGCCGTCCCTCCCGTGCTCGTCCTGTCTCTCCAATTCAGAGCTCTCACTGTGAGAGTACGACACCGTTACACCAATTTCCCCTTTCCATATTTTCTTTCTATTTCATTCCTCTTTTTATCTTGATTCATTTGGTCTTTATCTCATCTCATTTGGTTTCCTATTCCTCCTTTTCCATTATCCTTTG